AGCATGCAACTGCTTAGAACATACCTTTCTCTCTGGAACTTATTTGCCTATTACTACACCTGGAGGCAGCCAAATGATTTCTACTAAATACTGTTCCCCGGTTATTATTTTTCTGCCAAGCTTGTTGCAAATAAAGTTATCTCTAGCCAGGGACTGGGACACCAACATGCACAAATGCTTTTGACAGAAACACTCTAGCAGACTATTATTGCTTCCCCAAACACGTCCTTTGTCTGCAGGTTCAATCCACGTCTATGAAGCGTGCAAAGGCATCAGTTGCTGTTTTTATTGTTATTATTGCTTCTAACCTATGCCCATCCCCTGCCCCACTTCCCAATGCATTAATGCTGTGAATCAGTGTTAACAAAGAGCTTCTGCAAAAGAAAAATAAAATCCACAGGTCTTGGCAAAGAACTGTTGTGGGGACATTTCAATCACTTGAAATATCACGGGTGAAAACTATGTTGACTCTAGCATGATTGGGGTTCACCTCGCTGCCCTCCACTAAATCAGGAAAAAGAAAACATTTCTGCTGGAACAGGGGGAAAAACCCTACATTGTTGTTGCTGATAAAAATAGGGTTTTTTTTTTTAAATAAAAAATGCAGTTTTCATTAGGGATGCTTCAAATATTAGTCTCCAGCATACATAGGCTGACCAGCTCAATATCCTGTTTCAAACACTTGCCAGTAATGTGTGGTTCAAAAATGGCACATTTATTGCACCCTTTATTTCACCAAACTACTTTGTTTAGAATTTGTTTTTAAGAGGCTGCAACATCTGAACTGTCCAGTCATTGTGCTCTTACTTGTACTGAGGACACGCCACAAAATCCAACTAACATGACTGAGATGCATTACTTATTCATTATTGGCTCTGAAAGCTTGAGCCATTCCCTCCCTCTCCAAGAGCAGTGACAGCATGAACTCAGCAGCAGATCTATGAAGAGGCAAGGTGAAAATGTTGCCTCAGATGTCAACACTGTCCAATGGTGCACCGCTCTCCGCCAGAAATCAAACAGGCACAAGACTAAAATTCAGTTGGTGGGTAATGTGGAAGGTCACCATTTGGATTTTCATTTAGTTTACTTAAAATCAACTATGAAATACAATTCTGTTCCAAAAATAGTATCTATCTAATACATTGTGTATTTATACAGACACATGGTATGACAAATGGTCCAACTTCTTCCTAGCAGTAGCATTTTAATGCATTTATGTATTTTAAAACATGCTTATGCCATTCATCATTCATCAAAATGGTGTGCAGAATGGTTTACAAAAAGGTATGGTTGCACTGGCAGGGGAGGGAGGAATATCACAAATAAAATTTATAGCAGATAAAAGAACAGAAATAGAACTTGAAATGTCTGAGGGAATAAAAAACATTTTCCCTGGAGTCCAAAAGAGTGGTGTTAGCCCCCAGGTGTGCCTCCTTTTGAGATGAAATTCCACAGCTATGAGGCTACAGCTGACAAACCTTTTCCCTAGAGGACAATGCTGGAGGAACCTGGACAAGGGCATTGGCTGGTTATGGGAGAAGGTGCTTCTTTATAGGTCTGAAGTTGTTTAGGACCTTAACAGGCTAAGCACTGGCACCTAAAGGACACGTTCACTCGTGGGCAACCTTCCAGGGACCACATGGGTGGGTGGGGCCAGAAGCAAGGTGGGTGGCACAATGGATGCAACTCTCGCCTTTGTACAGTAGGTTACATTCCAAGCACACAAAAATCAGAGCCTACCCACACTGCCTTCCATCTACTCTGCCTTCCATCTACTCAAACAAAAAGTGTTATTACAGATCAATGACACATTACAGCCAGTCAAAAGCACTCGAGGTGGCCATGTAGTATTAGTTCATGGATAATCATGGCTAAACTATCTCCGTGCAGGAGCAGTTGCAGCTGGTGGACCAGTTATAGCTGCTAAGGTGCTGTGTGCCTCAGAAGCTACAAAGGACCTCAAGAGACAGAGCAGGGTCTAGCAGAACCTTCAAGTAGAGGACCTGCTGTTTCAGGGCAAGGTAATCCTATCCAGATATGGAAGTCTATGGTAGAGGCACGCATGACCAGGTCAGGTAACAGATTTCACAACTGTCTGCACAGCAGACATGTTGACCAACATAAATTTACAGTGGTACCTTGGGATGTGAACGGGATCTGTTCCGGAGCCCCGTTCGCATCCTGAAGTGAACATAACAAGCGACAGCACGTCTGCGCTTGGGTCACGTTTTGCCGCTTCCATGCATGCGCGTGACGTCATTTTGAGCATACGCGAGCGGCGAAACCCAGAAGTAACATGCTCCGTTACTTCCAGGTTGCCGTGGAGCACAACTCGAACACGCTCAACCCGAAGCACATTCAACCCAAGGTATGACTGTATTTATGTTGGGTGAATTTTCAAGCAAATATCTTGTATCAGTCTCTTCTAGATTGTGCCCTAAGAATTAAGTATATGAAGAAGTCGTCCTTGATCCTTGGTCTGAAAACTATGAGGAAACATTCCTGACAAATATGGGGAAGCTGGATTAACAGTGACCAGGGTGCTTCTCAGCTTTTAAAATCCCATCCAACCGTCTTGTTTGTTCATTGCTTTGAAGATCAAGAACCTATGGCACTATTAGAACCTGAGTGTCTGGAAACTGAATGGTTTAACATTAAAAGCTGATGCACAGAACAGCAGCAGAGACACAGAGGATTTTAACATTTCAGAACACCTTTGAGAGCTCCAAAGTATGAATAAAAGCTGCGAACACGCACACACAGTGTTAGTTGTTTTTTTAAAAAAAGGCTGACTATTTGACTCTGCCAAACTTAACTTATGTATAGCAAGTACTCCTGTTTCGCTTGCTCTCTGCAGCTTCCTTTTTGCAATAACCCTATATCATCTGTTAAGAACTGAAAAATTGGATCACCTCAGAAAGTTATTACTCTTTCATCCTAGATTTTCTCCAGAGAGAGATCAGGAGCAGCCCTCAGATTTGTACGCTTTCCCATGCTATAACCCCATTTACATTTCCCCTCACATGGAAAGAGATTAACACTCAACTAGGAGTTCACATTCTGAACTATTGAAAATTAAACCCAGGCTTATTCCCTACCCCTCCCTGGAAACAATTGGGCAGGGGGGAGGGGATAAGATCTATGTAGGTTATGTGAAGTACAGTAGTGTAGTAGTGGATAAGAGACTGAGCTATGAATCAAGAAATCCCATGTTCAGATTTTGCCTCCACCATTTATTCACTAGGCCACCTCAGACAAGCCTCACTCTTTCAGTCTCATCAGCAATATAGGAGATATCAATACTTAACCTTACAGGGTTACTGCAAGGATTACACTCAAATAACACATGTGAAGGATTTGAACACTTGGAAATGGTAAGAGGGACGCGATGGCGCTGTGGTCTAAACCACTGAGCCTCGTGGGCTTGCAGATCATAAGGGAAGCAGTTCAAATCCCTGTGGCGGGGTGAGCTCCAGTTGCTCTGTCCCAGCTCCTGCTAACCTAGCAGTTTTAAAGCATATCAGTGTGAGTAGATAAATAGGTACTGCTGTGGCAGGAAGGTAAACGGCATTTCTGTGCACTCTGGCACTCAGCACAGTGTTATGTGTGCCAGAAGCGGTTTAATCGTGCTAGCCAAATGAGCTGGAAAAGCTGTCTGCAGACAAACGCCGACTCCCTTGTCCTGAAAGCAGAGATGAGCACCACACCCCACAGTTGAATTCGACTGGACTTAACCATCCTGGCGTCCTTTACTTTTACAAATGTTAAGTATATTATATTTTAATGATTTCCCATGAGAATCTGTGTTGCTGGGAAGGTGATTTATTTTAAAGGGCCAGAATCCTATATGTATGAGGAAATGGAAAGCAGGGAAAGTTCAGTTTATAATAGAACTGGCAGATATCTGTTCTTGTATAACAACCAAGCCACATTCCTTATGTGAAGCTCTAGCTCTGAGAAGAATCCTATCACAAGCATTTTCACTGATTTTCGGAAATTTAGAGAATATGGAGTATACTGGCATTCTGTCTAGCAAGGGAGTGTGCTTAAAGTCCCCTACACAAAGATGGATATTTTCACAGAAACTAAACTTCATCCTTTCTAAGAATGAAAATTTGCATGAAACCCTGGTCAGCTCACCCATGCTGAGTGATACAATTGCTCGGTTTGAGGCTTCTTGGTTTTTCCTCGCCGCTGTTGTACAACTAGTTGAATCCTTTAATTGCAACAGATACATTCTTATTCAAAAGTAATAACTTGCACAGTACACATCTGCTGTGCACTCGGTCTGTGGCACACTGTAATGACTGGCACTATTCTACTGAGCACACTAATCTTTTGAAATGTGTGAGACTGTTCATGCAGAGGCCAGACTAGATGGCCTAATTGTACAGGGCTTGGGGTTGCTGAAGTCGATACAAATTAGGTCAGTGACACAAGCAGCCAGGATGGTAGATGCTGGGGGGGGGGGGGGAGGAGCCTTGACAAAAAATGTTATTGAAAATGTGTAATAATAAAGTGGTTCTTAAAAAAAGTTTTAAGAATTCTCACTGCTGTGCCTTATTGTGAAGCTATATGCTGAAAACCCCTTTCCCTCTAATCACATTTATTTCCTTTTAAAGTATTTGGGTCAGGAATATTAGCATGAGGACAAAGAAATTCATTCAGACATTTTAGTATCCTGTTGGGGTTATGAGGATCAAGCCAGGCAGTGTACATATGGCTTTTACAGTGTGACACAAAACACATTCCTTTAGTGTCAAAACCTTGTTCACCTTTTAGGCAAAAAAGGAAAAGGGGAAAAAAAGACACCTTACTGTACAAGAATAATATGCTGAAACCCAGTCTGTGTCATGAAAATACATAGCTCCTTTACTCCAGTAATCAGCTGTATATTAATATTTTGTTCTTAAGTTAGTTTAAGACCATCATTGAAGTAAAGAGTTGGAAGGGATCACAAAGGCCATTCAATCCAACCCCCTGCAAATGCAGAAATCTTTTGCTCAATGTGGGGTTCAAACCCATGACCCTGAGATCAAGAGTCTCGTGCTCTACTGACTGAGCTATTTGCCGTACAGGAACAGGAGCACAAGGAAGCTGCCCTTTATCAGATTATTGGTTCATCTAGCTCAGTACTGTCTACAATGACTGGAGCAGACAAGGACCCATCCCCAGTTCTACCTGGAGATGCTGAGGAATGAACCTGGGACCTTCTGTTAATTTGCCCATCTAATTATTACTATTGCCATTTGTATTCTGCTCATCTTCTCAGAGAAGCAATGGATTACATTCAAATCAGGACTCCATCATGATGTGTGAAGCATGATATACATGTTTTTCAAACTGTATATCACATGCATTGGGCTGCTGAGGTATGCAAGGGCTGCCTGATCTGACCAGCTGTAGTTGTAAGTACAGTGGTACCTCAGGTTACATACGCTTCAGGTTACAGACTCCGCTAACCTAGAAATAGTGCTTTAGGTTAAGAACTTTGCTTCAAGATGAGAACAGAAATTGTGCTCTGGTGGCGCAGCAGCAGCAGGAGGCCCCATTAGCTAAAGTGGTGCTTCAGGTTAAGAACAGTTTCAGGTTAAGAACGGACCTCCGGAATGAATTAAGTACTTAACCCGAGGTACCACTGTAACTCCAGCTCAGAACACCAGGGCAGCTGCACAGCAACAGGAATGCACATCAGAGCAGAACTGCAAGAGTCAGCAATTCAGTTATGGGGAGATGTGGCAGTCCAAGTTGGACTCAAGAAAATCCATAAAACTCAGTAGCTTTGATGACTTCCCAAAATAAGTTGTGGGCATCTGAAAACCAGAATGTCAACCTGGCCCAATCTTAGCCATCATGGTGAATACGCATCCGGTTCCCTACAGGGAGAATTCTGGAATCCGAAACCCCTTGCAAGGAAAAACACGCAGACAGTGAATTATGAGTCTTAATTATGGGGTGGTATCTATTACTCATTTCTGCTGCATCTACTTTGTGTCCCCATCGTGCACCAAATTGTCCATAGCATCTGCATCATAAAACAAGACTACAATCCAAGTCTATATTTATTGGATTCCTTTGTCAGCCATACACCAAGAAAGAGAAAAAATTTCAGTGTTCCCAACAGTACCCAAGCTCCATTAAAAGCTGGCCTTTCCTACAACTCTAGAGAGAAATAACGGACAAAAGGTAATAAATCCTGTTGTCTTATTCTCATCTGTCACTTTCAAACTTGATTCCTCCTAAAGATGCATAAATTAAAAATGGGTTCCCAGAATCCATTATAAATAATGTTCAGCCTGTGTTCATCTTTGGATGTTGCTGGTGAAGGGTAGCAATATATGCAATAATATGATAGTGGAGAAAGAATGAAATGCAGAGTTGACATTTTCAGTGACAACACCTGATTTAATGTTGCATGCAGTTCCATTCTTGTAACCCAGAAGTTCAGAGTTTTTGTGCTTTTTTTAAATGCTATTGGATTAGGCTCTCCAATTAAAAAGATGCAGGCACACAATTATTTATTTGAGAGAAACAATATATATAAATTTACCTACGCACTCTCCCAATAGTGATGCTGTATCCCTGGATAGAGCAATATTTACCCTGCGACTTCCTTTTTCACCTCATGATGAACAGAAGAGCTGACCTAAGTCTGACCTATATAAACTGATGGGTCAGTAATTTATCAGGTGCCATTTAAAGCCATGTGATTAACTCATTCCCATTCTTCTTGCTGGGAACTGCCTCACACCCACCTTTTAGCAGCCACCCTCCTTCAGAAGTCGGGGAAGTATATTCATTTCACCATTATGGCACAGGAATCCATTTGGCCGATAGGTCCTTTGGGGCATTTTTTTTGTCTTTACTATTAACTATTAATGGCCTGCTATCATACCATTGTAAGGCTTTTCAGTGACAAGATCATCTATCCTATGATTAAATCAAGTGTCGCAATGAGCCCACACTGTGAGTGGGAGACGGAACTGCAAAGCCAGCCACAATGTCTAGACAATGGTGGTAAGAAAAACAACAGCAGAGAGGTAACAAAGGAAATGCCTGAGCTTGATGGTAAAATTAAGGAGTTTTTTCAAATATTATCCATGCTCGTGCAATTCCTTTCCATTGCAAGCAAAACCATTGCTGGGTTTTGTACATTTATGCATTTCCTTGGCTGCCCTTGGCAAAATAAAACATGGCACTCATCCATGTTGGAATCCTACAGTACTTGTTATATACCTCTCGAACTGTGTCACAGCTGCCTAAAAACGGAGTTGCCGGAGTCGTCTTGCTCAAAAAGAAATTAAATTTTAGGGCAGACCTTTGAGCAATGCTTAAGGCACCTGACTCCCCAAATTAAAAAGAGAATTAGGGTTGCATCATCCAGAAGCCATGAACACAGCAAACTGCTATTTACAGGTAATAAGGTGGAACTTGTTTTAGGAGTATGAGGTGTGTGTGTTTTTTTTAATGACATTGTTATGACAAAGATGGCACCAGGTGACCCATCCTCTGACGAGACACATACTTAATTCAGTGAAACACTTGCAAGCTCTTCTTAGACCCAGGCTGCAAGTCTGTTTATAGCTTGCTTTCTTACCAGCTTAATTGCTAAAAAGCAGCTGTGGTTGATCTTATCAGAGAACAATTTCATTATGGTTTAATCTGGTCAGCAGGCTTCTCTCTAGCCATGAAATACAGGCACTCTGGTATAACAGGCCTTAGTATAATTTCCCTGCTTCTTTTCTTTCCAGAGCTATAGCATTATTAGAGCTGAAGCTATTTATATCCTATTAGCAGCTTCAAAGAATTATGACATTGCATGCTGGGTAAAATGCACACCCAAGTACATTCAATAAAGTCTCCAGGTGTATTTATTCTTATTCTTTTAACTCCAGTTATCTCCCTACTTTTGGATTTTCCCATTTACATTTCAGAAGCTTTCTTTTAAAGGGACATATTTATTAGACTTATCACAACAAAGCTAAATAATAAAAGGCTGTTTCCCTTCTGTTGTTTCCTATGTCTGATCAAAATAATAATCAGGCCTATCTCTGTAGTCCTGGTTTTAAAAACTGGCACCATGAAATGAAAGAAGCATGTGCTTCCATTTAGCACATAACTGCCCTTCTACTACAAGTTAATCAGTCCAAAATACCTACCACTCCCTTGGTCATATTCACAGAATTTAGAATCCACAAAGGGAAAAGGACAGAGAAAACCTCATATCATTACCACCCTTAATGCATACAATCCAAGTGGCTAAAGGGCAGTAAAGGTAAAGGTAAAGGGACCCCTGACCATTAGGTCTAGTCGCAAACAACTCTGGGGTTGCGGTGCTCATCTTGCTTTGCAGGCCAAGGGAGCCAGCGTTTGTCCGCAGTTTTTCTGGGTCATGTGGCCAGCATGACTAAGCCACTTCTGGCGCAGAAGGAACACCGAAACCAGAGCAGTGCATAGAAACACCGTTTACCTTCCCGCTGGAGCGGTACCTATTTATCTACTTGCACTTCGTGCTTTCGAACTGCTAGGTTGGCAGGAGCAGGGACCGAACAACAGGAGATCACCCCGTTGTGGGAATTCAAACCGCCAACCTTCCAATCGGCAAGCCCAAGCGGCACAGTGGTTTAAACCACAGCTCAGTAAGTGGCGATAAACTCTTCAGTACTGAACACATTGAATGTTTACACCGCCTCTCTCTCTCTTTTTTTTTAGACAGGAAATAATCCCACAATAATTAGCCAACCATAAGCAGCATCTTCTTTGGTTCCTCATCTGTTCTAAAAATGGGAAGCTCCTATGTTTGATAGCAAGCTTCTGCCAGAGGCTACCCATGCTTAGCTTTCATAGGCAGTCTTCCCAACCAGGAAGAGAACATAGGAAAGCAGATCCTGGCTCTCCTGCTCTTTCGATAGGCTCTTGTGTTAGGAAGCATCAAATTTTCTAATGTCCAAAGTACATGAGGCATTAAAGGTGTGATCACATTTAAACATGTTTAGGGTTTTTTTTGTTTTTTGTTTTAAGCCGCTGCTGAGCAGGGGGATGATCAGGATCCGGAGCATGATGTGTAGGAAAGAGAAATGCTCCGCTCGCTCCCACCCAAAATTGTGCTATTTCCCATGGTGAGGAAGCTGCAGGGGTGGTTTTAATTGGAATTATGAAGAAGAGTTTGGATTTGATATCCCACTTTATCACTACCCTAAGGAATCTCAAAGTGGCTAACATTCCCCTTTCCCTTCCTCCCCCACAACAAACACTCTGTGAGGTGAGTGGGGCTAAGAGACTTCAAAGAAGTGTGACTGGCCCAAGGTCACCCTGCAGCTGCATGTGGAGGAGCGGAGACGCGATCCCGGTTCCCTAGATTGCAAGACTACCGCTCTTAACCACTACACCACACTGGCACAGGAGGAAAGGATTAAGCCCATGTCCCTACACATCAGTCACAATCCTGATCATGGCTCTTAAGAAAGAAAGAAAGGACAAAATTTAAAAAATAATAATAGACAAAAGAAAGAATGAAGACAGACACAATAAACCATACACTTAACATTATGTGTAGTTTGGGTGTAACCTCCCCACTGCCATCCAAGACCATAAACTTGGTTCTTATGGCTACTTCTATGGCATCCCTGCTAGTCCCCATATACAAGCTTTATCAAAGAAAAACCCAAACTCCTCACCATTCCAATGACACTTTACCCATGTCTTCCATTCCTCAGCTGAGTATGCAGTTCTGGCAGATGTATCTGTCTGGATCTGGAAAAGCTACAGTGAATTATGTTTCTGGGTGTCAGGAGGTTGAGAGACCACATTCCGATCTCTTGTTCTTTGAGACTTGCTGGATAATGATTCTGTGTTTTCTACAGAGACCAAAAGGAAATCCTCTCTAAATTCATTTCAGAATGTGTTCCTTTTAGGAAGCATGTAACTACAGAAGGGTGTAGCTTTTATCTGTTTTTACAACTGCCTGCAAAATTGAATTATCTTTCCCTTGGAAGCAGCCAAGCAATTTGTTTATTTGAGATAAGGCTGAAGCAGGGAGCATGGCAAGAAGTCTCTTCCCCTTTTGTCCAT